CACATCATTACAAGAGGCCTAAAAAAACGTAAAGGTCAAATTCTAAGCAAATCATAGGAAAATGGATTTGAAAAGGGGGGCTGGGTGGGTGGATGTGGGAGTGAAATTATCTCTAACAGATTTTTTAAAAATCAGTTTGAAAAGGCAATGAAATTCTGAGTGGGAGCAGCTGAGAATTTAAGGAAAAACTACTAACATGGGGAAACAATATTTAGCAATGTAAATGAAAGAACAAAGAGATGAAAGCAAGCAAAATAAAACCAGGAAACTTAATAGCTCACTTAACTGAAGATGTGGGATACTTGGATTTTATTTATAATGGTCTATCTGCAACGGGGGGGGGGGGAGAGGGATTTTAAATGCTATATATCCCCCAAAGTAGAATAATTTGCATAATTTTTAGATTCTTGGAGTTATTGGCTAAGTAGACTTCTAGTATTGAGTTATTGAAAATGAGTGCTTTACATTATTTTGACTGTTTGAGATGATAATCCCTATTCCAGATATCATTGTTCCCTTTGCTCTCCCTTGATCTCAGTATTATTGTGTGTAGCATGTGTAGCAGCATACTGACATTTAAGACACAGGGCCCTTACTAGAGTCACCAGGTCCCCCTGGTCACAGGCAGGGGATGAGGGGGAAGAGTTGTCAGATCTAGGTTGGGACACTCTTGGAGATTTGAAGATGGAGCCTAGGGAGGACAGGGACTTCACTGGGGCACAATGCCATACAGTCCACTCGCCAATACATCTGTTTTCTCCAGAGGAACTGACCTCTGTAGTCTGGAGATTAGTTGTTATTCTGGGGGATCCTCAGGTCCCACCTGGAGGCTGGCAACCCTAGCCCTTACTATTGTTGTGTGGGTCACTGCCTGGATTTTATTCATTTATGTGATTTGTAGTCAACCTTTCTCACTGAGACTCAAAGTGGATTACAAAGTGTAGGTCAAATACAGTCAACAGGATAGGAAATCTAATAAACAAAGTCAGATGGTTTTAATTGCAGAAATCTAAAAACAACTGAAACAAAGCTGGAACAAAATGTAAGCATTAACACAACCTGTTAAACGATGCAGAAAGTACATAGTGGGATCCTCCTTACACCAACAGACAGTACATACTAGTACAGACAGTACATACACAGTAGTATAATCCACAGTCTCAGTTCCTTTACCAAAACATTTTTTTGAAACATTTCATTACCTGTTGTGATGGACTATCAAGGGTTAATGCCTCACAGAGTCTGAGAACCTTTGAGTAACAGGCTGTTCAAACAGAATGCTGTGGAGAGCATCAGTTAAGAAATGACAGTTGGGAACTGACAGTTGACGAAGAGACAGTTGAGCACTGACTGAGGACTGGGAAGGAGGCAAAGAGGCGTGAGAGGATCATGCAAGATCCCTATTCGAGCCAAAAAGGGACACACCTTCTAGTGAAGAGAAGTAATCCCTGCTCGGTGAAAAGGAACATAACTCTTAAGAGAGGAGTGATTCCTGGTCTGCTAAAGAGAAGGATTTTGGGATCTTCATTGTACATTCCTGCTTTCTAAAGATAAAGTATCAGTGAAATTCAGAAACCTATGTTTGCGAGTAAAAGTGGAAACAGAAAAGAAGGCCTCTCTCCCCAAAGTTTCAAAGACTGTGTTGAAAAGCAAAAACACTTACTTGCTGGCAACATATTAGATGGATTTAGTGTGATTACGTTACCTCAGTTTTTATTATTGGTTTACCTCATACATCCTACCCCTGATTCCACCTAACCTTTCCCCCACCAAGTTAAATAAAAAAATTTATTTTTGAACTTTCCAAAGCATCTTGTGTGCCATTGCAGAAGTGAAATATAAGTAGGTGATTTTGTCTCTTACCTCCCTCCCTGGGCTGGTCCAGCATCAAAATATATAATAATGTGACAGTGTGGGACAGCCATAGACCAACAAATAAGAAGAAAATAGATATAGGGGCTGCTCAGCAAGAAAGAAAGAAGAAACAAAGGGAAAATCATGTGTGTGAGGGAGGGAAGAGGGCAAGATTGCCATACCTGTGTAAATAAGCTGAAGTGTTGGAAGGAAGGTAGCTTCCTTACTCTCAAACTATGTTGGTATGGATTTTGGGTTCAAATTGGGATGTGGGCCATATTCACACATTTGTATGTCTGGTGTACATGTACCTTGACCACACATGGTAACAAAAATTACACTGGATGAGCATAGGAGTGGGCATGATCTTGCCCCCTCCCACATTCACTTTCCCTGGATAAAATCTTCCTAAGAGCCCCAGGGGATTCTAGTATGAGTGAATTCTGTTGTCTGGCAAGGTCCTCAACCCTGTTGAGTCTTAGGGCACTTTTGGAAGTTTGGGAAATAGTAGCGGACATCATCACAAAATAACTGTAATGGATGTGGGACCAACAACAATATTTTCTAATTTCTAACCCATGGGTCTCCAATTTTTTTGAGCCTGCAGGTACTGTTAGAATGCTGACACAGGGTGGTGGGTACAATGATGAAATGGCTGCCACAGAAGTCAGAAACAGGGGTCATTTCGTAGTAAAAGAGCTAGGGGAACTCATTAGCATAACTCATTAGCATATACCACACCCCCTGACATCACCGGAAGTGTGTCATAAGGCCACACCCCCTGGCATCACCGGAACTGTGTCATAAGGCCACACACCCCGCCCCCAACGGTCCCGGCCGCCGCCGCCGGCCTTGCAGCTCTACTGCCGAGCCCCATGAGGGGCCCGGCGGTGGACCTGCAAGGCTGGCGGGAGTGCAAGGAAACCCCGCGAAGGCCCTCCCTGGCCCCAGGCAGGCAGGGGTGGGGAGAGGCAGGGAGGAAGCAATTTACCCTCCCTCTTCTCCTGCCTCCTCCTGGCTGAATGAGGGCCGGAAGCGGGGCAGCCGGAAGCAAGGGGCGGGGCTTCGTCATGTGCCCCGCCCCCGTACCTCACCCGGGGGAACTGCGTTCCCCCGCGTTCCCCCCGAAATGACCTCTGGTCAGAACCAACCACAAAATGGATGCCCCAGGAGGTAGAGCCAACCACTAAATGTCAAGGAGCAAAGTTACACACTCTCATAGTAATTCTTCAACATTTCAGACAGAAATTCTGTTTAAGATGATGCTTTTCAATCTGCACAGCTAATCAGCTCTCCTGTGCCAGTCAGAAGCCCTGCTGGGCAAAAGTGCCACTTCGTCCTGCACACTTTCTAAAAAACACTTGTGAGGCACCCGGAAAGGTACTGGCAGGCACCATGGTTGGGACCTATATTTTAAGCTTGCATTGGAGGCAGCTTCTTCTGAATGGCTGCTCCCTACAGTCGCAAAAGCAATGCCTCCTGGGCACTTCTGAAACTCTTCCTCTCCTGCACTGAGAAGAAAGGAAAGCTGGAAACTGCATGAGTTCTACCTCTAAGCATCCCCATTGCCTACATATTATAGGCAGTAGTTGTGCAGTATATAATGAAACCTCTTGAAACCTCTTAAATCTAAAGTAAAGGAAGGTTCCTGCCACACAGGGGGAAAAAGTCGGGCAAAAGTGTGGCTTTTAAAAGCCGCACCAAAATAGGCACACGGTGGTGGGATCATACAGATCCCGTGAGCCGCGGCACAATTGCTCCCCGGCACGATCAGGTGCTGGGGAGACCGGGGAGACAGCGACGGGAGGCTGCCGAACTGCGCATGTCTGAGCATGCACAGTTCGGCCAGGAGCCGGCGATCCCATGGCCGGCCTTGATGCGGCCTTGCCAGAAGAACCACCTCGGTAGGTGGTTTATTTTTGCTGCGTGTTTTGGGCAGAAGGGCCGGATCGGGGAGGGGTGCGCAACGCTTCCCAGATGTTGCGGTGGGATTGCGCCCGTTTGCTGCGCCCCCGATCCATCCCTCTCCCGGCCCAAAACCTCTCGTGTGACCGGGGCCGAAGACTTGCATTCTAATTAGAGTTGAAATGCTTTGCACATATATACTCTGCTCTGAAAACAAATCCACTGGAATACACAAAAAATGTGTTTAAACAGCTACCATAAAGTAGAATATCTGTCTCTCCTCCCCTGATCAATTTTTATTGGCCTGCCTCTACTCCAGATCTCTGTCCATCTTTGGGACTCAGAGAAGCACAATTGCACACAAATGGCTTAACATTTATTCACAGTTGCCAAATCGAGATTCTTTTAGTGTTTTTATGTGGCAACCAAAATGAAATAGGTTAAAGGCCCATGTTTCTTAGTAGCATGGACACAGGGATGCCTGGCAACCTTGCTATACACTGGCTTGCCACGAAAAACCCTTTACAGCAAACGTAAATTCTCAGATACTTATGGTGGCAAAGTAAAAAGTGCTTACTCTACACAAACTGCTTACTACATTATATTCGCTTTAAATCCATCAGCTACATCAGTCTTCCAAAAGCCCTTATACTTCCTGTTATCTGGGAGGAAGGAAGGCTTATAAATGTTTTAAATAAATAAATACTAAAATATCTCTACCTCCATAACAAGTAAATTCTCACACAAATGCACAAATGGACTAAGAAAAAGACCTTGCCTATCACAGATTTCAGTGTGAGTCCTTCCCCTTAATTTCTATATAAATAGATGTTAGAATGCCAGAACATCCTCCTGAATGTTTATTTATTCACTGAAGTATTTATGATGGGTTAGATCACAAGGTTCTGTTTTGCTAACTGCAGTCTGTGTATGCAGAAGATCAATCCCTGGCATCTCTAGGTGAAAGATCTCAGTGCCAAGTGTTGGGAAAGAGCTTATATCAGCCTGGGATCCCAGTGAGTTGCAGCCAGTCAGAGATAATATGAGGTAGACAGAGCAAAGTCTGGTATTATATAAGATATGTAGCCTTATAACTAATTTAATCCACCACATCACAGGCAGAACACGGAAGTCTATAGGTAGCCTATAAAAAAATGAAAGAAAACCAGAAGGGAAAACAATTGACTTAAGAAGATGACATGTCTCTCTCTGTGTGTATGAGACAAACAGAGAGAAATTACCTGGTCTTCAAAGTCAAATTCTGTATCTGCAATATCTCCGGAGTCCACAATGAGATTAAGATCAAGTTCACATGGACCTAAAAAAGAAAAATGAAATGAAACTTCTGAAATAAGATAGCTAGAAATCACAGTATTCAGTGGACACAGGAATATAACAGTGATGTGGTGGGGCCCATTCTGGCATTTAAATCACCTGCCAGAAAAAATTGGGCATCCAGATGTTCATATACCAATTTTGTTATATAGCTATTCAGCTCCAACCAATTTTTCTAAGTATCTGACTTTTTGGTTACAGGAGGAAGATATGCATTTATAATAATAAGGCTTCCATCCCTCCAATTCAACAACAAGGCCATAGCTAGATGGAGTAGGGGTTCTTTTAGTACACATTGCACCTTTAGAGAGGTGGAAACAAGAATACTCAGCCCCCCCATCAGTCTCCCTGGTCCTTTACCCAAAACTGCCCCTAAATTATAAGAATAAAATCCATCAAGTTCTGGAGTCTCCACTATCCATGTTTCCTGCAATAAAATTATATCAAAGTTATGCTGTAAAAAAGGTACATCTGTATACATAGAAAGACAACAGGTCCACCGTTTCAACAGACTCATTGTCATTTTCATGACAGCGGAACAAGGATAGTCAACCAGTTATTTCTTTTGGGGCTAGACTTGTTGAGGCAAGGGGCTCATTGGAATTATTGAGCCCCAGCTCTGACATAACTTGGACCTCCTCTTTGTCAGGGCCCTGAAGAGAGTCCACATCACTGCTTGCACCTCCATGGTCTAGAGGGAGACAATGACTGCTATTTTGGCAGATGGAAGTAATAGGCGAGGTAGTTTGCATAGGGTCCGATGGTAATTCTTCTCCCTCCCTCGACACAATACTAGTCATGTTGTTCATAGACAACGTATCAGAAAAGGGCAAGTCTTCATGTTGTCTTTCTTCTTTTGATGGATTCTCCAATTCAGTTAATGGGGAAAAGGTGTCCATCTGTTCTTTGTTCATGGGTATGAGAGGCTTTAAGAAAGATATTGGGTTAGAGAGGGCAAACATTGTTTCCTGTGTTTCTTGTAGTAACCCATGGTAGTTCTCTGAATTAGATGGTAGCCTGGATGCAATTAGCTGGTCTTGTGGCATATTAGTTGAAATGTCCATAAGATCCTCCATGTCAGTTTGAGACCTGAGAGTAGCACTTTGTCTAGGTTTAATCAGTGGAGGGACCTTTCTTATAGTTTCCCTAAATACTCTTTGGGGCCAAATTTGAAAGGATTATAATTTTTCCCCATCTGTAGTAACATAAGGGGGATGGTGGTTTAATTAAACTTTAAAACCAACATCCAATAGTTTCCTGCACTAGGTAGTCTTTCTACTTCCAATAGGTCAGTAGCCACAGAGTCAATTCTGAGCAGTGCATTCAGGGAATTGGATATTCTCTTTTTATCTGTTCCACGGCCATGATTTATTGACGTCTGAGCCACTTCCAAAGCTATCTTTTTTCCCCCCCATGTAAGCTCAGTCTCTCTGTCAGCTGGCAACATTAAATATGTCTTTGTTCCCTTTATGCATGTAAAAGGAGAATTTTTTCTGCTTTTTAATTGTGGATTTTGCAAGTCTTTTCCCTTCATAATTTCTCTATCATGACTCTTGTCAGCCTCATTTCTCATGTTTCTGAGATGGATTCTCGATTGGTCTGCAGTAATTTCCTCCGTTGAGTTCTCAATAAGTTTCAGAATAGCATCTAGCTGGTTTGCTATCCTGTTAATGTATTTGAAGATTTCAATTACTGTCTTAGCCGTAAGTAAACACTGATCACCAATTATTTTAAAAATATTTTATTTCAGTCCTTCATCAAGGCTGTCCAGTGGGAGTGAGTTTATCAGCTTGCCTGGAAAGGGCGTTGACAATTTAGGAAGCTGTGTTGTAATCTCCCCCTCATCCAAAACACCTATATTTTCAGTAGTTTGGGACAGAGATATCTCTTCTTGACTTTCAGCCGCCAAAATATCAAACATGTTGCTTGCGACTGGAGAGTCTGCTACAGAGTCTAAAAAGCCATCTATTTCCAACTGTCTGGATGCTTTAAGACCAGAAGTTGGAGATGAATCAGGGTCAGAAATATTTCTATTCCTTTTCCTCATCACGCCCTTTGGTTTCTTCATTCTTTCCCTTAGGCAATATAATATAGTTGCTGCCAGAGGCAAGAGTTAAGAGTTATTTTAGTCCCAAATAGGCACCTAGTAGGTAGAAAGCTATCTCTGGGGAGCCATTCAAAATTGGCAAAAGCCCAGTCTCACCACACATAAAATCAACAAAGCGACTCCCACCAACTGAGGAAGTACTCAGCACAGCTCCAGTAAACTTGGTACGAAAAATATCAGGTAGGAGAGAACAAAATAACCAAAACAGACTTATCTCTCCTTAATGATGTGGAGGAGCGTCCGCCATCTTGTCTGCTAATGTGGGTAGGGAAATGAGACCTGTATGATATGGCTGCCTACTTTTCACCATAACTAAGCTAATAGCAGCTCTGTGGGAAATAACTATTTCTATCAAGAAAATGGTATTGGGAGAGAAGAATTAAGCATGCTCCCTCACCACCATCCCATATATACCGTATTTTTTGGACCATAAGACTCACTTTTTCTTCCAAAAAAAGTGGGAGGAAAAGTGAGTGCGTCTTATGGACCGAAGGTTCAGAATATGTTTTTTCCTGTTTTCCTTCTTTAAAAACTAGGTGCGTCTTAAGGTCAGGTGCGTCTTATGGTCCGAAAAATACGGTAGTTTGATCATTTTTCTGGTTGACTAACAGCCAGTCATAGTTTTGTCAACTGCTAAGAGGGAATACACTCTTAATTAAAGAATTAGTACATAAACAGAAAACATGTAGGTATTTTGTATAAAACAGAATGAATCCACTATTCATTAGACCGCTTATTGCATTTCCTAACTGATGGGTGCTTCATATGATTCTCAAGTCTTTTTTTAAAGTAAGACATTTGCAGGTTATTTTTAGAAGCCGTTTCTTTCTCCTCCTCTTTCTCTTACTTTTAACCAGAGAGAAAGAGTTTCAAGTGTAGCAAAGTACATAAAGTATTTTTATAACATTCTTATTGATACCAGCATGTGTGCTTAAACATAAGGACCTTAACAGGAGCAGAGCTTGTACCAGCCAATGCATTCATAGTTTCAAAGGTTTCAAGTGATTTTAGATATGAACGTTATGTTCCTGGTTAGAGATTATGTCTCAACATTTATTTAAAAGGACTTATCTGTATTTATCAAAATAAAGAGTTCTTTGAAAAAGAAGGTTGGGGAGGGAGATATAATTACAACACGGGTTGTGTTAAACCCTAATTGCTAAGAAATAATAGGGAAAAATTGTATGTACATCATTTCCCCCACTCTTTCTTTGTCCAGCCAATCATAACAGTGGGCTAGTGACATCACAAAGCTGTGTGATATACTTGGGACTATGGCTTCCTTGCATTATTCTCACTTCTTTCCACTGTGCTATTTCTTGATGACAGAATGTTTGACTTAACTCCTTGTTGGTGGTGGAACTTGCGGTCAAGTCCCACCTGATTTATGATAACCCTCATGGGATTTTCAAGGCAAGAGACTTACAGAGGTGGTTTGCCATTGCCTGCCTCTGCATGGCAACTCTGGACTTCCTTGCAGTCCAAATACCAACCCAGGCTGACCCTGCTTGACTTCCAAGATCTGATGAGATTAGACTAGCCTGCCTGGGCCATCCAGGTCAGGGCCCTTAACTCCTTAGCAAGCTTTAAAGCTCATATTCTTCTCATCATAAGATCAGATAAGAGAGGCGAGGAAAAGAATATGAATGCCACTTTAAAATCAAGTAATTATATCTGATTCATCATGTTAATATTATCAGAGTAAGTAACTCCTCCAACCTTTCCAAAGTGTCTATGAATAGTATAGAAAGTATGGTAGATCTCTATCTAGAAAGCAAATCAGAGAGTTCTGGCATAGTCACTCTGACTTTGACTTTTCCCCAGCAAGAATCACTAGCATTAAGAGCACAGTGGAGAAGAAAGGGGGACTATTTCTGCTTCAGTGTAACTCCATTCCTACAGACAGGCCACTGGTTCACCCATACCTAGCTTAGCTTTAAATGCTTTGTGGTGAAGCCTAGGCTGATTGTGACTGCAGTCTGTCTGACCCTTCCAAGCAGGCTCATTTCCATGTCCAACTGTCTTTGGCCTGAAAGATATCACAGATTGCACTGACAGTATTCTGGAGCTGTTCTTTCTGTGTTGAGAAACCTGAACAATGATTCCGTGAAAGTGATCCTTCAAGATACTTATTTTAGGTTACTTTTGGCTACCTATGGAATAACATTAAAACTTTTTAGCCAGTCTAGTGTTTAATTGTATGAAATATTCTAATATAGTTATATAACAAAGATCCCACAGACCTCTAAAGTGCAAAAAGAACCTCTGATGCTTCTGAAATGCCATTTCTCAACTCCTGTCCTGTCACTATCCAATGATCTATGAGAACGCAGTATTAGCTGATTTCTGAAGCTATTTTTCTATTGAAATGAGATGCAGTCAAGGATTTAAATTGGCCATAAATCCCTTTACCAGAAAGTTAAAAGCCTTAAAGTGGCTTTAATGAGGTGCCTGCACACAGGCAGGTAGGTATACCACATAATTGGATGAAACATACATTTATAATAAGGTGGCACTAGGGATGGGCATAAACTGGGAAAATGGTGGTTCATGGTTTGTTTGATTACACAAACCACAAACCATGAACCTTCATGAATTTTCCCTGTTTCCCAAACTGGTTTGTGGTTCATTTGGTTCGTGAGCTTGGGAGGTGGTAGAACAGCCCCCTTATGAGAGGGATACCAAACTCACAGGGAGTCTTCAGAAGACTCTCTTCCACCCACCTTCCAAGTTTGGCAAATATTGAATTTGGGATGTCTGAGTTATAGCCCCCCCAAGCAGGAGCCCCCAGGAAAGCTCAGCTCTAGCCCCCCCTTAAATCAGCCACACAGCAAGCAATTCTTCTTAACTCGCTCTCACATGATGACTAACTTCTT